TCCATTCATYCCGCGGGAATATTTTGCCAGGGGAGCACTGCTGGTCCAGGCTCACTGCCAAGTGGCCGCACAATAAATTGGAGTTTGGGCTCCTAAAGTGGGCTCAGTGTGGTTCAGGGACTGGTGTCACGGCATTCCAGGGCACTGAAGAGGTGACAGGTTCCTGCTTCTCTTTCTCTGGGTTCCTGCAGGATGTGGACAACAAGGTGGAGCGGGTGTGGGGTGACTGCAGCTGCAGAAAGAAGTATTCCCACGTGGATCTGGTGGTGATGGTCGATGGCTATGAGGGGGAAAAGGGTGCTGTGGTGGCTGGCAGCCGTGGCTACTTTCTTAAGGTAAGAGCTGTGATCCCAGAATGATTGGGATCAGAGAAGAATGAGGAGGGACAAGGGCCTTGGGTTCTCCCCTTGTATAGGTGATGGGTGCCTCCATGGCAGGGGTGTGGGATGGAGCCTGACCTCAGTGGTGCATCGGGGTCTGTTCCTGCCATGGTCTGGAGTGACGCAGTTCAATGGGCTCCACATATCCTGGGTACACTGAGCAAAGAGGCGTGGCCCAGCGGGGTGTATGCATTACAGGTAATGTGTCCCTTGTTCCCAGGGCCCTCTGGTGTTCCTGGAGCAGGCACTGATCCAGTACGCCTTGCAGAGCCTCCGTGCCCGGGGGTACACCCCAGTGTACACCCCCTTCTTCATGCGCAAGGAGGTGATGCAGGAGGTGGCCCAGCTCAGCCAGTTTGACGAGGAGCTTTACAAGGTGAGGGTTTGCTCCAGGTTTGGGACTGGACTTGGGAGCAAGCAACCCCCACAGGGCTGTGGGGAGGGAGGCAGTGGGGTCCCCTCTGCCCTGGCAAGTCTGTGGTGGTGGCAGCAGCGGTGGCAGTGKTTCCTTCCCCTCTCCTTGGGATTCATCTGCACATTGTGATGGTGATGATGTAACAGGGAGGTGGTTTGTCTTTGGGGTCCATCATCATGGGAAACACTTCGTGGTGACACTGCAGTGACAAGAAGTGGCACATCTCCTGTCCTTCTCGATGGGTGACACGCTGTTATAGCCATGAGGTGACAAGGAGGTGGCTGGTCTCTGGAGTTCATCTCCATTGGTGACGTGGTTAGGAAGAGGTGTCTTTGGGTTCCACGTGTATGAGTGCCACATGATGGTGATGAGGTGGCGAGGAGCTGGCTCATCTTTGAGGTCCATTTGCACAGGTGATGGCAGTGCAGTGATGAGATGCCTTGCTCTGGGGTCCATCTCCATAGGTGACAAGGAGCTGGCTTGTGATGGTGATCAGGTGACAAGGAGGTGGCTCATCTCTTGGGTCCATCTCCACGGGTGATACAGGTGACTCGTCCCTGCCATCACCCCTTTTGAAGGACCAGCAAACTCTTTCTGTGATGAACTCCCAAACCATCTGGCCCGGAAAACCTCCCTGCTGGTCCCTGGATTGTGGGAGCAGCTAGAAGAGGGCCCATGGCTCATGTGCCCCACAGGTGATCGGGAAGGGCAGTGAGCGGGCAGAGGACAGTTCCATCGACGAGAAGTACCTGATTGCCACGTCAGAGCAGCCCATCGCYGCCCTGCACCGCGATGAGTGGCTGCGGCCAGAGGACCTGCCCCTCAAGTATGCAGGACTCAGCACCTGCTTCCGTCAGGAGGTGGGATCCCATGGCCGAGACACCCGTGGCATCTTCCGSGTCCACCAGTTCGAGAAGGTGAGAGTGAGGGGTGGTCCCAGTGGGAATTYGGGGCGTACCAATGGTCGCTGTGGGGTTCCAGCAGGAATTCAGGGTGTACCCAGCATCACTGGGGTCCCAGTAGGAATTCAGTGTGTTCTGGTGGGAATTCATGGTGTTACTGCAATGTACCCAGTACAAATTCAGGGTGTACCCATTGTCACTGTTGTGTTCCACCAGGAATTTGTATACCCCATGTCACTGTGGGGTTCCAGTGGGAATTCATGGTGTTCTTGGTGGGAATTCAGAGTGTACCTGGTGTCACTGTGGCATACCAGCAGGAATTCACATGTATGGGGGGGTCACTATGGGGTGAACCTGGTGGGAATTTGGGATGAACCTGGTGGGAATTTGGGGTGTACCTGCTGTCAACTGCAGAGTTCCCAATGGGAATTCAGGGTGTACCCAAGGTCACCACAATGTTCTGGTGGGAATTTAGGGTGTACCCAATGTCACCACAATGTTCCAGTGGGAATTTGGGCCGTCCCTGGCTACATTGTGGAATTTCTTCTCCCACAGATCGAGCAGTTTGTCTACTCCTCCCCCCATGACAACAAATCCTGGGAGATATTTGAAGAGATGATGGCCACAGCTGAGGAATTCTACCAGTCTCTTGAGATTCCTTACCATGTCGTCAACATTGTCTCAGGTAAGGGCTCCTGTGCCACAGGGGGCTGGAGGGGGGCCCTGACCTGCATTGTGGCAATTCCTTGTCCCTGGCTCATTGCTCTCACCAGCCTGAGGAGAAGGAAGGGGACATTTTGTTTGTGGAATCCTCAGCTTTGCTCTGGGTCCGTGGCAGTAGATGTGGACACTGCTGTGATGGATTTTCCCTCCTGTCCCTTCCAGAGGGGCAGTTCGAGTATCCCAGCTCCTCCTGGAAAATTTTCTGGCTTAAAAGCTCCTTGTGTCTGAGTGGGACCCCCTTCATCCCCTTGGCAGAGTGAGAACCCCATGTCTCCACAGGCAAGTGGGAACCCCACATCCCCACAGCTGAGCAGGAATCCCTCATCCCTGTGGCTGAGCAGGAGTCCCAGATCCCCATGGCACAATCACATCTCCCCATAGTTAAGTGGAAAGCCTGCATTCATGTGGCTGACAAAGAGCCTCATGTCCCCATGGCTGAGTAGGAATCTCACATCCACATGGCACAGCAGGCACCTCATGTCTCTGTGGTCAGGCAGGAGTCCAGTGTCTGTAGGTGAGTGGGAATCCTGCATCCATCCCCATGTCCAGGCAGGACTCCCACATCCCCACAACCAAGCAGCAACCCTGTGACCAAGTGGGGACCCCACATTTCCAGGCTGAGAGGTAACCCTGCGTCCCTATGGCAGAGCAGGAATCCATGTTGGATTGGCACCAAGCTGCTGGAGTAATTTTGGAGGCTTCACCCTATGCTGTGCCCCAGGATAGGCAAATTCAGGAAGGCAGTGGGACTGCCCCACTCAGCACTGTCCCCACTCCAGGTTCCCTGAACCATGCAGCCAGCAAAAAACTGGATCTGGAAGCCTGGTTCCCTGGCTCAGGCGCCTTCCGTGAGCTTGTCTCCTGTTCCAACTGCACCGACTACCAGGCCCGGCGCCTGCGCATCCGCTATGGCCAGACTAAGAAGATGATGGACAAGGTGAGGCTGGTGGGCATGGGGGTTCTTCCCATGTTCCCTTTGCCTCCCCCATGTCACGCATATTTCCCATGTCCCTCTGCTGCAGGTGGAGTTTGTGCACATGCTGAATGCCACCATGTGCGCTACCACACGCACTATCTGTGCCATCCTGGAGAACCACCAGACTTCGGAGGGCATCCGCATACCTGAGAAGCTCCAGAACTTCATGCCCCCAGGTAACATCCCCCCTGCCACCCCCCCATTCCCCACCCCTTGGCGGGGGAGTGACAGGGGTCCCTTGTCTCCCTAGACCTGCGGGAGCTGATTCCATTTGTCAAGCCGGCACCCATAGAGCAGGAGCTCTCAAAGAAGCAGAAGAAGCAGCAGGAAGCGGGGGGCAAGAAGAAGGCCGGGGGAGGATGTGACCAGGTGCTGGAGGAGCAGATGAAGAACATGGGGGTCTGAGGGTGTCCCCTCCCCCACCCCCAAGGACTTTGGGGGCCTCCCAAGTCATCTCACCATCATTGCCAAGGCTGTGCCCTTCGCCATTATCTTTGCTTTGGCGGGGAGTCACCATCTGTCCCCCCTATGGCACAAAGAACTGACAGTGTCAGGGTGCTGCCTCTCCCTGTGTGTCCCCGCTAGTCCCCTGAATGGGGCCGGGATCCCCTATGTGTCCCCCTCACGCTGAGTGGTGCCGGGGACSCACATGCCCGTGGAACACTTCCCTCTTCCATCTAATAAAGCCAAAAGAGCTGCTGAGCGGTGTATTCTTGGGGGGTTTTGAGGACGGAAGGAAGAAGTCCAGCTCGGGGTGGTGTCTTCGTTTCCCGTTGTACACCACCCCTCCCCCCCATCCCTGTCCCTTTCTCACTCCCCCCTGCCAGCCCCAGACAAAGCCCTTTTGTGATGCAAAGTGCAGCCGAGGGCCCGCAGCCTCAGCCCCAGCTGCCGGCCCCCCCCCGGGGGTGCGGTGACACACGGGAGGGTCGCCCGCTTCCATCCCCCCGCGGGGGTGCCTGGCTGCCTCCCGCTGCGTGTGCGTGGGAAATTCCTGGCTGCGCCGTGGGTGCCGGGTGGAACCGGCGGGGAGCGGCCCCCTGAGTCACTGGAGCTCCCGGCGGAGGCGGGGGCGTCCCGGCGCTTCAAGCGCCGCCCCGGCGCGGGGGGGCCCCTCCCCGGTACCCGTCCGACCCGTTCTGCCGGRGGGCGGCGGCCCGACTCCCCGCCGCCTGCCCGCACCCACGCCCCGGGACCGGCGCCGGCACCCATGGAGTGCGAGGATCCGCCCCAGTCGAGCTTCCCCACAGAATGTCTCTGTCTGTCCCAGTGCTCCCAAACGTCCCCTGTCCCTCCCTGTTTGCCCCAATGCCCCCCAGCATCCCCACGGCCTCCCAGCCTGGTCCAGTTGCTCCCAGTCCGTTTTATTGCCCCCGGTCCTGGTGCGGTGGGACCAGCCCAGGATTCGGGGGATGCCACGGAATAAGGGGACATAGACTCCCGCGTGTGGAATCACGGCAGGCGGGGGAGACAAAGGGGGCTGAGGGGCAGGGGGGGGCGTGTGTGTCATACGTGCTGTATGTGTCACACGTGTGCTGTGTGTTTGCACACGATCTCTGTGTTGTGTCACACATGTGTTCTGTCTCACATGTATTGTGTGTGCTCCGTGTGTGTCACACATGTGCCGCGTATTTCACATGTGCTCTGTGTGTCACCTACGTGATTCCCATGTGCTCGCTGGTGCCTGTGTTCTCTGCGCCTGCAACACGCGTGCCTGCAATGCACAGGTATGTGCAAGGCGMTTCACATGTGCGCGTGCATGTTTGTGTGCACGTACGTGTGTGCGCGCAGGGCGGACATGTGCACCTTACCATGTGTGTGCGCAACCTGCGCGTGGGTGTACGGCCGCTGCTCCCGCGCTGCCGCTGCCGGCGCTGCTGTCGGTGCGGGTGCCAGTGGCGGTGCGGGGGCCGGTGCCGGTGCCGGTGCCGCCAGTGGGTGCCAGCGGGGCCGGCGGCTCCTTTAAGCGCGGCCGGGCCGGTGAAGTGGCGGCTCCGCCCCGGCGGGCGCGCGCGGGCGCGGGCGGCGCGCAGGCGGCAGTGCGGGACGCTGCGGGCACCGGCACCGGGGGCACCGGGGGGGCACAGGGGGCAGCGGCCATGTGCCCTCTGCTCGCCCGCTGGGCCGCGCTCCCGCTGTTGCCGCTGCTGCTGCTGCTACCGCTGCCGCTGCCCGCACCGGGACCCGCTACCGCCATCGCCACCGGCATCGGCTCCGGCACCGGCACCCCCACCGGCATCAGCACCGGCATTGGCACCAGCATCCGCACCCGTCCTCTCAGCGCGCTCTCGGCGCCACTCCAGCTCCGCGGCGGCACCGGGGACAGCGGCGGTGCGCGGCCCCCGCCGAGCACCGGGGACAGCGGCGGCAGCGCCGGGCCCGCACCGGCCGCGGGCGGCAGCGATGGAACCGCACCGGGCACCAGARCTTCCAGTGCGGAGAACAGCGGCGGCATTCGGGGGTCTGTAGGTATCGGTGGCACCGGGGGTACTGGGGACACTGGAGGCACTGGGAATGCTGGAGGCGTTCCCTGGAAGCCTGGAGGCTCTGCGAATTCTGAAGGCACTGGGGGCACTGGAAACACCGGGGACGCTGGAGGCACCCGGGATACTGGAGGCACCGGGGTTACTGGAGGAACTGGAGACACTGGGAGCACCCATGCCCTCAGGGGCACCAGTAGCGCCAGGAGTACTGGACACACCGGGGACATCAACATCCCCATGGACACTGGGAGCACTGGGAATGTGCTGAGCACTGAGGGTGTTGGGGGCACTGGGAGTACTCCAGTCCCCAGGGGCTCCAGGAATTCTAAGCTTACTGGGGAGAGTGGAAGAGCCTCCAGAGGGGCTGGAAACAGTAGAGAAGTCCCCAGGGATCCCAGGAGCACCAGCTATACTGAACATAATGGGGAGACTAGCAAAGTCCCCAGCGACACCAGGAACACTATAGACACTGGACATGCTGGGAAAAGCAGGGACACCAGTGGCACTTGGGGTGTAATGGACACTGGGGATGTTGGGGAGTCCAAGAGCACAGTAGCCTCCAGACCCCCCATACCTCACCGCCACTCCCGCCGCAGCCCCAACACAGCACCACAGTTCCAGCCCTCCAGCTACCAGGCCACAGTGGAGGAGAACCGGCCAGCAGGCACACCGGTGACACAGGTGACAGCACAGGACCCTGATGAGGGGGAGGCAGGCCAGCTGCACTATGCCATGGCTGCACTCTTTGACAGCCGCTCCGATGCCCTCTTCACCATGGACCCTGTCACTGGTGCCATCAGCACTGCTGCACCGCTGGACCGTGAGAGTAAGAGCACCCACATGTTCCGTGTGACAGCGGTGGACCACGGGACACCCCGGCGCAGTGCCATGGCCACACTGACGGTCACAGTGAGCGACACCAACGACCACAACCCAGTCTTTGAGCAGCCAGAATACCRGGAGAGCGTGCGGGAGAATCTGGAGGTGGGCTATGAGGTGCTGACGGTGCGGGCCACTGACGGCGACGCTGGTCCCAATGCCAACATCCTCTATCGCCTCCTCAATGCCGGTGGCATCAACGAGGTCTTTGAGATCGATTCCCGCTCAGGCGTCATCCGCACCCGCGGCCCTGTGGACCGGGAAGCGATGGATGCCTTCGAGCTGTTGGTGGAGGCCACAGACCAGGGCCAGGATCCTCGGACTGCCACAGCCACTGTCCACATTACCGTGGAAGATGACAATGACAACACACCACAGTTCAGTGAGCGGCGTTATGTGGTGCAGGTCCCCGAGGATGTGGTACCCAATGCAGCTGTGCTGCGGGTGACAGCCACTGACTGTGACAAAGGGACCAATGCACTGGTGCACTACAGTATCGTCAGCGGCAACACCCGTGGGCACTTCTACATTGATGCGCAAACAGGCATGCTGGATGTCGTTACCCCCTTGGACTACGAGGTCACCAAGGAGTTTACCCTGCGGATCCGGGCRCAGGATGGTGGCCGTCCACCTCTCTCCAACATCAGTGGTTTGGTTACCATCCAGGTGTTGGATGTCAATGACAATGCACCCATCTTTGTCAGCACGCCCTTCCAGGCCACCGTGTTGGAGAATGTCCCCGTGGGCTACTCCGTCATCCATGTACAAGCCATTGATGCTGATTCGGGTGACAACAGCCGGTTGGTTTACACCCTGCTGGGGACTGGCACCAGCTTCCCGTTTGCCATCAACAACAGCACTGGATGGATCGTGGTGGCCTCTGAGCTGGACCGAGAGGTGGTTGATTTCTACAGTTTTGGGGTGGAAGCACAGGACCAGGGCACCCCAGCAATGGCCTCCACGGCGAGTGTCAGTGTCACTGTCTTGGATGTCAATGACAACAGCCCTGAGTTCACTCAGCAGGAGTATGGTGCCCGCCTCAACGAGGACGCGGCAGTGGGCACCAGTGTCCTGACTGTCTCTGCCATCGACCGTGATGCCAACAGCGTCATCACGTACCAGATCTCCAGCGGCAACACCCGCAACCGGTTCTCCATCACCAGCCAGAGCGGTGGTGGGCTCATCTCCCTTGCCCTGCCCCTGGACTACAAGCTGGAGCGGCAGTATCTGCTCACTATTGCTGCCTCTGATGGCACCCGCCAGGACACCACCCAGGTGATTGTCAATGTCACAGATGCCAACACCCACCGCCCCGTCTTCCAGAGCTCCCACTACACTGTCAACATCAATGAGGACCGGCCAGTGGGCACAACAGTGGTGGTCATCAGCGCCACGGACGAGGACACAGGGGAGAACGCCCGCATCACCTACCTGATGGAGGACAGCATCCCCCAGTTCTGCATTGCCGCCGAGACTGGTGCCGTCACCACCCAAATGGAGCTGGACTACGAGGACCAGGTGTCCTACACCTTGGCCATCACAGCACGGGACAATGGTATCCCACAGAAATCTGACACAACTTACCTGGAGATCCTGGTGAGTGATGTCAATGACAACGCACCCCAGTTCCTCCGCCATTCCTACCAGGGATCCATCTATGAGGATGTCCCTGCCTTCACCAGCGTCCTCCAGGTCTCCGCCACTGACCGTGACTCTGGGCTCAATGGCAGGGTCTTCTACACCTTCCAAGGGGGTGATGATGGAGATGGCGACTTCATCATTGAGTCCACCTCGGGCATTGTCCGCACCTTGCGCCGTCTGGACCGGGAGAATGTGCAGCTGTACTCCCTGCGGGCATTTGCCATGGATAAGGGGGTCCCGGCCCGCCGGACGCCAGTGGAGATCCAGGTGACGGTGTTGGATGTGAATGACAACCCACCCGTGTTCGAGAGGGATGAGTTTGATATCTTTGTGGAGGAGAACAGCCCCATTGGGCTGGTGGTGGCCCGGATCACGGCTACTGACCCCGACGAGGGCACCAATGCCCAGATTATGTACCAGATCGTGGAGGGCAACATCCCCGAGGTCTTCCAGCTGGATATTTTCTCTGGAGAGCTCACCGCCCTGGCTGACCTGGACTATGAGGCCAAGGCTGAATACATCATGGTGGTCCAGGCAACCTCAGCCCCGCTGGTCAGTCGGGCCACCGTCCATGTGCGCCTGCGCGATGCCAATGACAACAGCCCCCAGCTCAAGAACTTCGAGATCCTCTTCAACAACTACATCACCAACCGCTCCGGCAGCTTCCCCGGGGGCATCATTGGCCGCATCCCTGCCCACGACCCTGATGTCTCTGACCACCTCACCTATGCGTTTGAGCAGGGCAATGAGCTCAACCTTGTGCTGCTGGACCCACACAGTGGGGACCTGCGCCTCAGCCCAGCCCTGGACAACAACCGCCCGCTTGAGGCCGTCATGAGGGTGTCTGTCTCTGGTAAGACCCCCACCCATGGAGGGGGGCTTGCGGGAAGAGGCAGGTGAGGTTTGTGGGTGCATGGAGGCAAGGTGTATGGGGTCTCATTGCCCTCACCCACCAGATTAGAAGGGATAATGTGTTGTGGGGTCCCACCAGCCCACTGAGGTGTTTTGGAGTTTCACCATGCCATCCAGCTCTAGGGGAGAGGGAATAATGGGATGCTGTGCTCCTCTCATACCCCCGACATCTAAGCTGGAGGCAGTTGGGGTCCTCAGTACCCCTTTTCTTTCCCCACACCCCTGGGCTGTCCAAAGGTGGTCCTGGCACTTCTCCATGTGTCACTGAGCAGGGTGAGGCAGGGCCCAATGCATGTATTGGGGAAGTAGAGGCTGGTGTGTGCCAGCAGGGTCCTGGTACCCTTGGGGGGATGTTATGGGGGCCTGCTGGATGAATCTGAGAAGRCTCAGGGTGCAGTGCAGTATTGGGGGAGTCCTGGGCACCACATTGTTTGTGTTTCCAGGAGACTCCAGTGCTTGAATTCAGGGCAAGAGACACAGGGCCTGGTGTGTGGATTTGGGAGGGTCACCCCGACCTCCACTGGGAGGTCCCCACATGCAATGGAGAGGTCACAAGATAAGGGGCAGGGGAGGTTTGCCATTAGTTGTCAGCATTGTTTGGGCTGTGGGGRGTGTCCAGGAGGTGCTTCTGGCTGGGGTGGTGGCGGCAGGGGGGTCACCCCAGGGTGGAGGAACATCTTCTTGGTCAATCCCAGGTCAGGGAGGGAAACTGAGTCACAGGCCTTATCCCAGCCACATGGCCCCCATTGCCCCCCAGCTTCCCCTGGCTGGGGTCCCTGCTCCAGCCACACAAAAGCAGGGGGCCCAGGGCACAAAGGGTGGGGGCAGGGATCCCCTCATGCCTCCCCACTCCGAGCGCAGGGGCGGCCCGGAGGGGAACAAAAGATCCAGCCATAGCTAGACCCCCGCAGTCGCAGCCATAGCAACCCCACCCCCCCAGCCACCGGTCACTGGCCATGGGCCACCAGGCAGCCCCGCCCTTGCCACCCTCTGCAGAACCCCCTTCTGCCTGCTTGGCCCCTCGGCTGTCCCTTCATCTGTCTGTCTGCTTACTCCCCATCTGTCCCACATTTCAATGCACTTGGCCAGGGAGGGAAGGAGGARGAGGAGGAGGAGAAAGGTGGGTGCCCCATATCTGAGCAGACATTTTGCTCCCCCAGCCTCATGACCATCACCAGCCCCTTAACCAGCCCCAGCCCCTTAACCAGTCCCAGCCCCATAACCAATGCCAACTCCATAACTAGCACCAACGCTTAACCTGTGCTGGCTCCCTAACCAGCCTCAGCCTCATAGACAGAACCAGCTCTATAGCCAGCCCCATGCCTAACATACCTAACCCTGACCTTAACCCCGTAACCAACCACCATCCCCATTCAGATGCCCTCACCCCACAGGATGGACATCCAAGCAGGATGGGAACCTCATGGCCCCCACTGCTCCCATTCTATGGTGGCCAAGCAGGTCAGGTCCCCCATAAGGCAACACCATCCCCATCCCACTGTCCCCATCCCTTGGTGACCAAGTAGCATGGGCATCCCATTGCCAGTGTTGTCCCCATTCCACAGTGGCCAGGTGGGACAGCATCCCTGTAAGCAGTGCCAGCCCCATGGCTAACACCAGCCCCATCCCACTGATCCTACCTTACAGTGGCCAGGTGGAATGCCCCAAAACCAGCACCAGCTCCATAATATAAACACCATCCCCATCCCATTGTTTCCAGCCAAGTAGGGTATGGGATGGGTACCCCAAAAGGAGTGCTGTCCCCATTCCACAGGGGTCAAGCACATCAGGTCTGCGATAGCCACCGTCATCCCCATCCTGCTGTCCCCATGCCATGGTGACCAAGCAGGGTGGGTACCCTAAAACCAGCATCAGCCCCATAGCTGGTATCGTACCAATTCCACAGTGGTTGACTGGGACAGTGGCCCCATAACCATCCCCATGTCCACCTACAGTATCATCGCCAGCACTGTTCCCATCCCATGGTGGCCAAGCGGAATGGGCACCCACAACCAGCACCAGCCCCATAACCAGCACTGTCCCCCATAACCAGCGCTGTCCCCATTCAACAGTGGCCAAGTGGGACAGGAGCCTTGTAACCAGTTCAAGCCCCATTGCCAACACTGTCCCCATCCCACTGTCCCTACCCTGTGATGGTCAGGTGAGACGGGCACCCCAAAAACAACACCAGCCCCATAACCAGCACCAACCCTGTAACCAACAGAAGCTACATAACCAGCACCAAGTCCATAGCCATCACTGTCTCTGTTCCTTGGTGGCTGAGCAGGAAAGATCCCCCATAGCCTGCACTGTCCCCGTCTGATTGTCCCTATTCTGTGGTGGCCAAGCAGGATGGGCACCTTATAGCCAGTATTGTCCCCATTCCACAGTGGCTACTTGGGCCAGGTGTTTCATGGCCAGAACTGTCCCCATTCCATGGTGGCCAAGCAGGTCAAGCCCCATAGCACCGTCCCCATCTGACAGCAGCTGATTGGGTTGGTTGCCCCAAAACCGGTACTGTTCCCACCCCACCAGCCTTTCCCAGATTTGTCCACTGCTGTCACTGACCCCCTCCCGTGTCCCCACCTTGTCCCCAGATGGCATCCACAGTGCAACAGCGCAGTGCACACTGCGGGTGACGGTGATCACAGATGAGATGCTCAGCAACAGCATCACCCTGCGCTTGGCTGACATGTCCCAGGAGCGTTTCCTGTCTCCCCTGCTCAGTCGCTTCCTGGAGGGGGTGGCTGCTGTCCTGGCCACCCCCCGCCACCGTGTGGTCCTCTTCAACATCCAGACGGACACAGACGTGGGCCCGGCACGGATCCTCAATGTCAGCCTCTCGGCACTGCTGCCGGCGGCGGCGCCGGGCACATCGCGGTTCTTCTCGTCCGAAGAGCTGCAGGAGCGGCTGTACCTGAACCGGTCGCTGCTGGCAGCCACCACGGCCCAGCGCGTCCTGCCCTTCGATGACAACGTGTGTCTGCGAGAGCCCTGCGAGAATTACATGCGCTGCGTTTCCGTCCTGCAGTTCGACAGCTCTGCGCCCTTCCTCGCCTCCGACACCATCCTTTTCCGCCCCATCCACCCGGTCACGGGCCTGCGCTGCCGCTGCCCGCCCGGTTTCACCGGCGACTACTGCGAGACCGAGATCGACCTGTGCTACTCCAGCCCCTGCGGCAGCAATGGGCGGTGCCGGAGCCGTGAGGGTGGATACACCTGCGAGTGCCACGAGGATTTCACTGGTTAGAGCCACTGGCCAGCCCTTCCTCGTAGTGTCTATCCTTATCTTTCCTCATCCAGCTCCCCTTCAGCCCTACCTCCTTCCTCCCTTCCGCCCACCTTCCCTCCACTGGGAGACTGGTGGCACTGGGGTCAAACCCCCTACCCCACCCTGGGACTGCAGCCCCCCATGGGACCCCCCAACCCCCTGGGGGTTGCCAGCCAGGTGGGGGGGGATGTGAGAGGAGGGGGTGTCTCTGGGTTGCCATGGCAATGGGAGGTGGTTGCCATGGTGATGGAGCTGGGGATAAAGATGCTGGGGGGGAGGAAGGGGGGATCCCCACCCTCCCACACCCCAGTTTATGGTGCTTGGTGTCACACTGGGGAGCCCTGTGAGTGCCTGGGGGCAGGACTGTGGAGTTACTGGGGGGTGGGGAGGAGAGAGGACCCCCACCCCTCCTTTTTGGTGTGCTGGTGCTATCAGGGTGTCACACCAGGGAGCCCTGCAAGCTGAGCACCTGGGGGAGCCACTCTGGGGTTAATGGGGAGGTGTGGGGGGCAGGTGGGACTCCTCACTCCAGTTTTGGGGTTCTGGGTGTCACACAGGGGAGCACTGTGAACTGAGTGCCCGGGGGGGCCGCTGCACCCCGGGGGTCTGCCGGAATGGGGGCACCTGTCTGAACCTGCTGGTGGGGGGATTCCGGTGCCAGTGTCCCCCTGGGCACTACGAGAAGCCCTTCTGCACCATGAGCACCCGCAATTTCCCCCCGCGCTCCTTCCTCACCTTTCGTGGCCTCCGCCAGCGCTTCCACTTCACCCTAGGCCTCACGTGAGCCTGGGGGTATCTGGGGAGATGGGGGGTGCTGGATGCCCCTTGAGTATCACATGGGATGTGGAGTAGATGGTGATAGGTGCCCCATTGGCATCAGATGAGGTGATGGGGTGTGGGGTGATGGGTATCTTGTGGGTGCTAGGGGGGTGGTGATGGGTGCCCCCACTGGTATCATTTGGGGTGTWGGGTGATGAGAGTCCCAAGGGCATCAGATGGGGTGGAGGTGCCCCATTGGCATCATCTGGGATGGGTGGTGATTGATGCCCTATTGGCATCATATGGGCTGTGGGGCGATCGGGTGTGGGGTGATGGGCACTCTGTGGGCACAGGGTGAGAGCAAAAGGTGTGGGTGAAGCCTTGGCATGGGGGGCAATGGGGTGGGGGCACCTTGTGGGGGCAGGGGCTGATGGGTGTGAGCATCTCACAGTGGGTACAGAGTCATGGGGTAGAGGGTGAGGGGTGTGCCTCAGGGCATGGCTGGGGCAAGGGGCATTGGGGAGTGCCTGGGAGGCACGAGGGGATCAGGGGGTGTTGGGGCACCCGTGGCACTTGCGTCCCCCAGGTTTGCCACACGGGAGAGGGACGGGCTCCTACTGTACAACGGGCGCTTCAACGAGCGACACGACTTTGTGGCACTGGAGATTGTGGATGAGCAGCTGCAGCTCACCTTCTCAGCAGGTTTGGGCTGGAACCCCACCCTGGCACCCCTGTGGGCACTGTATCCTTCACTGCATCCCTCACTTCATCCCAGACATCCCATCCTGCCACTGCCTGGCGCTGCATCCTGGGCATCCCATTCCCAGCACTGCATCTCTCATTGCATTCCTCATTGCATTCCGCGCTGCATTCCTCACCGCATTCCTCACTGCATTCCTCGCTGCATCCTTGACACCGCATCCCTGGCACTGCATTTTGGACATCCCACCCCTGGCACCACCCCCCCCCTCCCTCCTGCCGGCCGTGTCCCTCTGATGTTGTGCCCGCAGGTGAGACCACCACCACGGTGTCACCCTTCGTGCCAGGAGGTGTCAGTGATGGGCAGTGGCACCGAGTTCAGCTGCACTACTACAACAAGGTGAGGGAACAGGGGACATGGGTACAGTGGGTGGGGAGTGTTTGGCACAGGCATAGGAAGGGGAGATGGAGGGGAAGGGTGGGGGAATGGAGAGATAGGGGGGAGTAGTGAGGGGGTTTGAGGGACCTAAAGGACTCCTAAGAGACATGCCCACCTGTGGGGGTCCCGAGGGATGGGGATGGGAGGTGGAGGAAGAGGAGAGGAAAAGGTGGAGGTGAAGGGCATGTTGGAGAGGTGAGGAGAGTAGAGAGGAGATTTGGGGGACTCCAAGGGACCCCCACACACCTCCCCACCCAYTGGACTCCTGAGGAACCCCACCTTCCTCCTCACCTGTGGGGCCCCCCAAGGAATTGTGATGGGGGGTTGGAAGAATAGGAGGTCAGGGGCATGGGGGCTTGGGGGAGATTAAGGGGACCATTGAAGGGTTTAGGGGAGGCTGAAGGGATGAAGGGTGGGATTTGAGGGTCTGAAGGGTGGATGCTGGTGGGCTGGAGGGATGTGGGAACTCGATGGGGTCAAGGGACCAGAGGGCAGAAGGATGATGAGGAACAGGATGAAGGCTGCATGATGGGGGTCCTGGGCCGTCCCACCTGATGTGGGGCCCCCCAGCCGGTGGTGGGGCGCTCAGGGGTCCCACAGGGCCCCTCAGAGCAGAAGGTGGCCGTGTTGACTGTGGACGACTGTGACACAACAATGGCCCTGCGCTTCGGGCCCCGCCTCGGCAACTACTCCTGTGCTGCCCAGGGCACCCAGACTGGCAGCAAGAAGTGAGGGGGACCTGGAGCTCCCGTGGGTGGGGGTCCATTGGGGWACCCATAGAGGGGTCCCTTGGAGAAGAACAATCCCTGTGGGTGAGGTACCTGTGGACTCCTCACTGGTCAGAGGTCCCTTGGGAGGCACGGGTTCCTATGGATGGGGTGTCACTAGAGGTCCCCATGGGTTGGGGAGGTTCTCTTGGGGTCCCCATGAGGGAGGAGTCCCCTGGGGATCTGTTGAGTTACCCGTGGGGGAACATCCCTAGAGTAGTCCCTCAGGTCCCCATGGGTTTTTGGGTGAGTGGGTGTTCTTTAGGATTCCCTTGTGACTCCTGTGGGGGGGGGGGGGGTGGGGGGTGTGGCTGGGTGTCCCTTGGGGCTCCCTCAGGGTCCCCATGGATTGTGGGGTCCCACGGGGGTTTCTTGAGCCCTCGAGCTGATGGTGGGTTCTGCAGGTCACTGGACCTGACGGGGCCACTGCTGCTGGGGGGCGTCCCGACGCTGCCCGAGAGTTTCCCGATCCGCAGCCGGCACTTTGTGGGGTGCATGAGGCACCTCCACATTGACCAGCGCTCCGTGGACATGGCAGCCTTCATTGCCAACAACGGCACCCTGCCTGGTGGGCAGTGGGCCAGCGGGCCGGGCAGGGGCTGGGGGCCCTGAGCTCCTTCAAGTGGAGGGAGATGGGTGTAGGGTTAAGGGATACCTGGAACAGAGGGGCTGTGTCCTCTGGGTGCGGGGAGGGGGTGTCAGGAAAGTGGGGCTGGATGGGAGTCCAGGGGATGCAGGAGAAGCTGTGCCCTCTGAGTGTGGGGAGGAGGTCAGGGAGTGCCAGGGACATGGTGTGGAGAGGGGTCTGTGAACAGGCTCGGTGTGGGGATTCAGTGCCTCCTGGGTGTGGGATGGGAAGTCAGGGGATGCAGGTTTGAGTTCAGGGTTGCCAGGACCATGAGGCTGCGCCCCCAGGGTGTGGAGTATAGAGTGGGGGGTGGTGGGACTTGGGGGCCCAGGGGGGCCCAGGGCTGGGCAGTGCTTGGGAGTCTCTGTGCCCCATGGATGTGGGGAGGGGATGCCAGGCTCATTGGGCTGGATGGGGGTCCAGGCATGCAGTGGTAGGGCATTCTGTGTCCTCTGTTTGTAGGGTGGGGGTTCAGGGCCTGCCAGGGCCATGGAGCTGGAGTGGACGGCACGGAGGATGCTGTGTGCCCTGGTGGTGGGGAGATGCCAAGACCAGGGGGCTGGATAGGGCTGTACCCCCTTTGGGGTGGGGCTGGGATATGGGGTGCTGGTCAGGGGCTACCAGGACCATGGTTTTGGATAGGGGTTCAAGGATGTTGGGGTGTCTGTGTCCCAGGAGGTCAGGGGTCCCAGGTCGTGTGTGGCATTTGACCCCTCTGCCCCCTCCCAGGTTGTCCCCCCAAGAAGACCCTGTGTGACACCAACACATGCCATAATGGTGGCACCTGCGTGCATGAGTGGGGGGCGTTCAGCTGCCGCTGCCCCCTGGGCTTTGGGGGCAAAACCTGCCAGGAGGGTAACTGGGAGACCTGGGGGGACGGTGTGGGGGGACTGTGGGGGGTCCGTAGGCTTGTTGTGGGTCCATGGAGAGCATGGGGAGGGTCTCTGCGTGTGTGTGAGGAGTGTGGGAAGGGGGTGAGAGGCATCGCTGCATGTATTTGGGGATCTGTGGAATTGTGGGTTTTTGAATGGGTATGGGGGGTCCGTGGGAGGGTGTGTTGGCATCTGTGGGATGTGCATGGGGTCCCCGGGGGGGTGCTGGAGTTCTGAGGGTGGGTGTGTGAGAGGCCGTGTGGGGTTGTGGGTGGTTCCGGGTGGGATGCAGGGTGTCTGTGGGTGGGTGTACATGGTCTGTACAGGGGGACGTGTAGCGGGGAGGGGACCCCGGGGTGGGCTTGGAGGGGATCCGTGGGTCTTGGGGGTCAGCCCCATCCCACGTGCATGCCCTGCAGAGATGGTGGGCCCGCAGCGCTTTGTGGGCAGCAGCTGTGTGGCGTGGAATGGGTTGGCACTGCCCCTTGCCCTGCCCTGGCCTCTCCGCATCATGTTCCGCACCCGCCACCCCCGCGGGGTCCTGCTGCGGGCGGGGACCGGAGGCCACCTCACCCTCACCCTGCAGGTGGGCACGGGGGGTCAATAGGGGAATTTTCCTGAGGGAAGTGCCAGGGAGGGGCTGTTGCTCTGGAGAGGTTACTGAGTTGGGTGGGTGTCCTCCGCACAGGGGGTATTGCATTTGCTGGGGGGTTTATTGGCATAGGGCACATTGGCCTGGGAGGGTACTGACTTGAGTGGGAGTGTAGGAGGGTTGGCCCTGGGGCAAGTGCCAGGAGGTTATTGCTCTGAGGGTGTGGGGGTTATTGGCATTGGCATTGGGGAGCTATTGGTACAGGATTTATTGCCCTGGGGGATCATTGCCCTATGGGGTCATTGGCACAGGAGGTGTTTTCTGGGGGGATATGTGGCCGTGGGGAGGTAGTGGTGTTGGGGGCTTGGAATAGAAGGATTTCCCTGAGAGAAGTGCCAGAGGGGTATTGCCCTGGAGGGGGTCTATTGGAGGTTCTGCCATGGGAGGTGTCTTGCTGGGGAGTGGCAGTGCAAGGAGGTGCCCCCCTTGAGGGGCCATTGCCTGGGGGAATTATTGTCCTGGGGGAAATTGTATTTCCTGGTGGGCAGTGCCTGGTGCCCACCTGGTTTTTGGTGTCCTTGATGTGTCTACCCCTCACAGCTGAGCGAGGGGCAGGTGGAGGCTGGCGCCTGGCAAGGGGGGGCGCGTTTGGCCACGCTGCGCCTGTCCCAGGCCAAAGTCGATGACGGCGCCTGGCACCATGTAGAGCTGGAGCTGCGGGGGGGCCCCAGCCACGACCCCTCTGCCACCCTCCTCCTCCTCACCCTTGACTACGGTCGCCACCAGGTAGGGGGAAACTGAGACATGGCAGGGCATTCGTTGTGTATGACCCCCAGATGCCACTGTGGCACCCCAAGGCACCCACGTGGGTCCCTGTGCCTCCCAGGTGGTGGGCGATGTCCCCGGAGAGCTGCAGGGATTGCAGCTGCGCACGCTGAGCCTGGGGGGGCTGCTGGGCAACAGTGGCACCGTGGAGGAGGGGTTCCAGGGGTGCCTGCAGGTATGGAGGCATGGGCAAAGAGGGTGTGGGGACCATGGGGTGCTGGGTGTAAGGGTGGGGGTGGGCTTGGGGATGTGGAAGAGGTGGTAAGGACGTGGGCACAGTGGGAGAGACATAGATACAGGGATATGGCATGGGGCCTGGGGACAGGGTATGATAAGGGGGGCACAGGGACACGTCACAGGACTTGGGGACATGGAACGGGACATGAGGACATGGAGCAGGGGCACAGGGACATGGCAAAGGACAAATGGGCTGTGTGGGCAGGGGCACACTGGGGATGCACTGGGTACTCTTGGGCACAGTAACATTGAACATCACCCCAGGGTCTGGCGGGATGGGGATGTGGCCATGGGGACACAGCTGTGACTGGGGCAGTCCTGGGTGGCATAGGGGAGTTCCAGCTGGTGTTGTTGGCCACTGAAGTCCAGAGAGGTGATACAACTGGAAAGAGGGGCTGGGATGGCACAGCAGGTCCCAGTGTGGGGTTTGGGGTGTCACATATTTTGTTGAGGGACTGAAAAGGGTGACACAAAAAGTCCTGGGTGGCAGCGAGGGACATTGAGGCTGGGCACGTCACTGTGGCAGGAGGTGTCATGGTGGCTGGGGCATCACTGGGGGTGACTCCAGTGTGGGTAACTGAGAGGTGGCCCCACACAGGGAAGTAGGGTTGGGGCAGGGAGGTGTCCCAAGTCAATGAAGGGACACTACAGGTGACACGGGGTGTCATCAGGTGGTGCTGAGGTTGGTGCTGAGGAGCAATGACAGGTGACCTGATGTAGGGTGCTCAGGGTGGTGCAGTGGGTCCAGTGTCGTGGTGGGGGACGCTAAGAAGGAGGTGATATTGCAGGGTGGTCTGGATTGTCCTGGGGTGTCCTGTATCGTGGTGGGGAACACTGAGGTGGGGGTGACTTGATGGTGACACCATCAGTCGCGTTCTTAGGGGGTCTCGGGGGAATGGTGAGGGAAACTGAGGTGTGTCAGGGGGTCCAGGGTGGCTTGGGGGGTCTCAATGACGACACTGATGGGTGACCTTGCAGGGACTGCGTGTTGGGGACCCCACAGTGACTGCGGATGCCCTGAGCCTGGCCCAGGCGGTGCAGGTGAACGTGGAGGGGGGCTGTGCCCTGCCTGATCCCTGCGACTCGGGGCCCTGCCCTGCCCACAGCTTCTGCAGTGATGACTGGGACAGTTTCTCGTGCCGCTGCCACCCTGGTGAGCAGGGACAYCCCCCAGACCCCTGACACCCCTCAACACACCCTGGACATCCCCCAATACACCCTGGGACACTGACACTCCCGTGACACGCCCCACTACCACCCCAGTGAGTGGGGACACCCTGAGACCCCTGAGACCCCCTCACAACCCCCAACAGTCCCCAACACCTCTCCAACACAGCCTGACATCCCCCAAGATGCTGACTGTGACACACCTGTAACACCTCTCACTGTTACCCCTTTGAATGGGGACCTCTGACACCCCCTGAGACACTGACACCACTGAGACACCCCTGTGACACCTCCACTGCTACCCTGGTGAGCAGAGACAGCCTGAAACTCCTGCCATGCCACAGCACGCTCTAAGGCACTGCCACCCTCCCCTGGATATTGCCAGCTTTGCCACTGTTCCCAGGCACTGCCTCCCCTCATCTCCGACCCCTGAGCACTGCCACCCCCTCTCATTGTCCCCAGGGCACTTGCACCCCCATCCCTGTCCCGAAGGCACTGTCACCCTCCCTGGACACTGCTACCCCCTTGTCACACATCCCAGGGCACTCCCACCCTCCCTTATCACTGGCACTCCTTAACACTGTCCCCTGGGCACTGCCCCCACCCCCATCCCTGTCCCCCGTCACTGTGCCCTGTTGCTGTCCCCAACCCTATCCCATGCTCAGGATACTTCGGTGACAGCTGTGTCAGTGCCTGTGCCCTGGACCCCTGTGAGCCTCCGGGCACCTGCACTCGCCACCCGGGCACGACTCCCGGCTATGCCTGTCACTGTCCCCCGGGCACCTTCGGGCCCCTCTGCCAGCACCGGTTGGTGACACTGTGGGGCACACACGGGGCACC